TTGTTTGATTATATTTTTATCAATGACTATTATGGTTTATTTAACATTTCCACATAAAAAACATTGTTTATCTGTGTATAATCTATGTTATAAATTGATAGTCTATAACTATTTTACTATTATTTTTATAAAATGATATTAAAAAAAAATATAAGAGTGTTAAAAGGAACCGGTTTCTAATCTAGAAACCAGGTTCTAAGCCTATTATGGAAAAAAGGGTAAAAGTCTATTCCGGCCCGGTTGTTTGTATGAACAGGTATATATTTTGTTTTTATATGCCCCGGTTATATTGAAGGGAACCGATTCTAATATTCATAGGCAGTTGGGACGGAAAATGTTATATGCCCCTGTTATATAAATACAAACCGAGCTCTATTTGTAATAAAAAGACCCGGTTTAGAACCGGGTTCTATTACGTATTCCACATAGGACTCCCCAACATCAAACCCGGTTGCAAAACCGGCTTCTTTAAGCTATTTAACCGGGTATTTTAATGCTTTTTGTAGTAGGTTTCTGTATACCAGTAAACACAAGGCATGTGGCTTGAGGTAGTGAAGGAAAGATGAGTGACCGAAAGAAGAAAGTAGAGAAGGAAACAAAAGTAGAGAAGGAAACAAGTATCAGGAGGAGGGGGAGAACACGGTGAGGATGATTTATTTATTTTAAGATTTTTTAATAATTAAATTTAGTTTTAAAAAAGGATAAAAGAAGTTAAAAGGGCAAAACAGTTATTTTATATAGCTCATATACCATTCATGCAAGTTTTAGAAATCATACCGTTTGTTCATGTTAGTTTAGAAACCACATGGACCTTTTGTATCAAAAATAATTAATAAGGACTGAAGGTGTAACTTTCAATAAACTACAGGCACCATTTATATAATTTTTTCTATTATTTTTATTGTGTTCTAAATCACAATCTCAAATACAATACATTACTTTTAAAATTTGGAGAGTATCATAGTAAATTTTGATCCTATCCACATTTTTTGGAGAGTATCATAGTGAAATTTTAATCCTATCTACACTTTTTGGAAAAAAACCATAAAAGACCAATCTTGTTGTTTTGTCTACAAATAATTGTATTAACGTACAAGCACAAGATGCAAGAAACTAGCAAAACTGTGTAGGCATCCGATAATCACTGACTAATAATCAGCGCAGTGAATATGGTTCCCGAGGCTTTTGTAACTTCTATAACTCCTTAGCAATCTTCATGTCTTGTATCATAGTCTGGAAGGCACGTATCTGTGTGATTGATGCTACTTTGTTCTTCCTCATGGAATATCTCCGCCATGCTGCTTGAATGAAGGATGCCGCCCAAGTCCGCCATCGCCTGAAATGAAGGACAACAAATTTCAACTCTTCTGCTGGTAATGCAAATGCCTCCACATCTCTCGCGACCTTCAAGGTTCTAGTGGAGGATGGGTGGTTAGCCCCGGATTCAGGGTCTACTGCCCAGATTAGAAGCTCAGCGCCACAGAAGTCTCCTTCTTTTAGAAAACCACTGTTGAATAAACCATCTGTGGTTTCACTATCCAGACAACCACGTATGATGAAGAGCATTTCATTGACTGGATCTCCTTCTCGGATGAGGTAACTATTATGGGTGTATAAACGCGGCTTCAGTCGTTGACAAATGTCATCAAGCAACCGCTCATTCATGTTTTTGAACAAAGGAACCTGCAATACAGTTGGAACAAACAATCTTTTGATTATTGACAAAATATCCTCAACTTTTCACGATATAAAGGAAACTCATGGGCCCAACTTGATAATATAAAGACAAAAAGCTGATTTTACTCGACAATGTTGGTCGCGGTCTGAGTCTAATAAACTCTGTAATGAAATACAAGTGTTCAACATTACAACCTATCTGTCCTGTCCGTGTCCATCATAAGGAAAAGAGCATCAAAAGTAAACAGTGCAACTTTCTTTAGGGATCAATTGTGACAAAACTTTAAAAGATTGAATAACCGGTATAATAATACCCTCTTGAGCAAATCAACACAAATGTGACGATTTATGTCTCTTCTAGGATAGTTGGGTAGATTTCGAACCATGCTCTCCTCACCCACTCCATGAGTTTCCAACCACTTATATTGATCGTGGCGTCTCACTTGTTCTAAGAGATCAACCTGAAAAGGAAATTTAATAAAAATCATCAAAATAACTTGTCAATGCTTACCACTTACAAAACAACTAACCAAACCAAACAAACCTTTTCTGGTTGGAGCTTTTCAAAACTGGGCTGGCTTGTCTGCATTGACATTAAAGCTGTTGAAAGCTGTCAAAAGGATAGATTTTGTTAAGCAACAAACTGAACCAACTAATAAGTCAAAATTAGAATCTTTGCTTTTTATTTCATATATGATAATATAACCATACTCAATATAAACTTTTGTTTTCTTTTATATTTTTTCTTCAAATCTTTATCAAAACATAGATTGAAACTATAATAGAAAAAAATGAATGAATAGAGAAGGCAAAGGAGAGCAAATTACTTGATATTGCAGGGCAGTTTCAAGTCCTCTCACGATGTCATTCATTAATGGACGTTTTTCATTGTCACTCTTTAAACATTGATAAGCAATTTTTGAAAACACCTTCAAAGAACTAGGATGTATTTCATCCCTTATATTACTCCATACAATTTCATTTAGGCTGTTTTGTCTATAGTGCTTCCGTACCAATTGAGTAAAGGATCCGTTGTTGCCAAAACACAACCTCCCACACAAAACCTCAAACAAAACCACACCAAATGAGTAAACATCCGACTCCTTTATTAGTATCCCAGACTCTAAATATAATGGATCACAATACCCAATGGTACCTACAGTATTATTGGTCACAATAAATGTATACTTTTGGTTAGCTGGACCAAATCTGGATAGACCCAGATCTGCGATTCTTGCGTTCCAGTTTTCGTCTAGGATGTTGGAACTTTTAATGTCACGATGTAGTACTCTTTGCTGGGTCTCACCAGGATCATGAAGGTAGGCTAGTCCACGAGCTGCCCCAAGGCAAACCTTAAGGCGTCGAACCCACGTTAGATCTTTGTTGTCAAGATGCAAGTCAAGACTTCTATTGGATGCATACTCGTAGACTAGAATCTTCTGGTCTTTCTCGTCACAAAATCCTAGGAGAGAGACAATATTTTGATGCCTATAAACTGAAAGCATAATTACCTCCTTCCAAAACTCAGAGTCTCCTTGCCCAAACGCACGATCTAAATGTTTTAAAGCAACCATGCTATGCCCCTTCGAGTGGAGTAATTCTCCCTTATAGACTTTCCCAAATCCTCCTCTTCCAATGCAGCTGTCTTCAGAAAAGTTGTTGGTTGCTGATTCTATAACTTCCAGTCTAATTCTGAGGTGTTCGAACTGTTTTAGAACAGACATCCTTTTTTATCAGAAATACGAAGCAAGAATAAAACTTCCAAATAATTAAAGTTGAAGGTGTCTAAGGATGGCGAAGAGGGAAAAAGGAAAAGGGGTAGCGAAACTGAAAAAGGAGACGAGACATAAGTGGGAGAAAAAGTTACCGGCTTTTCAAAAAGTTTTGATCATGCTGTCATTTTTAAATGTGGTATGAAATAGAGATTTTTTTAAATATTTTAAGATGTTTGTATCGTAGATTATAGAATTCAAATATTAAGGAATGCTTAATACTTGGTTTAGAATTCAAGAAACCATAACCGTATCTAATTTGAGTATACTACAGTTTGCTCCATGGCACCTACTTGCGGTTTGATTCCATATTTTCAAAGTTGATATTGTTCGTCCCTTGATCGTCAAAAGTTTTATCCTACATGGTGTGGGAGACTTTTTGCATCGGTAAAACCTTTTGTGGCACTTTTACCGGTGGTAAACAACATACATCAACCTTTTCTTTTGTCAATGATAAATCTAATATGTGAACTTCCACCAATGCAAAATTTCAATGGTAAAAACATTTTATTATTTCCTGATTATTCATTGCATTTTTTTTTTCGTTTTAATATAAATACTTCTGGTAAAAAACCACCACACCCTATTTTTAGCCAAAATGTGGCAAAAATTATAAAAACTTATGTGGCGCTTATTTGGCATATTTTTACCATTGGTAAAAATACTACCACACTCTTTAGCCTTAGCCTATGTTTGTCGGTTCTCATTCTTTATATTCTTATAAAATG